AAAGGACGGGGAGTAACGGCCCTGTCAGGGTGCGGGGCGACAACGGCAACCATACTATACCACGGCCCAATGGTGGTAGTCGACGCGGTCAGATAGGCGATCAAAGAGAGGGCGAAAACCGTTACAGTATTTTGTAGGTGATGTAGCCAATATCTAATACATATTTGTGAGTGCATGTCTGTTCTCAATGCAAATCAATATGGAGCACTCTAGAAATGTCCAAGGACGTTGAGTAGGGGTAACTTTTGATGCTGAATGTCATGGGCACGTTGGATTTGACCTCCGAGGTCATCTTAGGTCGCAGGACAAAATGAGGCGAAAAATGATGAAAAATCCCCTGCAGCAGCATTGTCCAAATAAGATTCAGCTTGCACTGAATTGCTTTACTGTTACTATAGGTGCAGTGGTAGATAGATTGGTAGATAGATTGATTTTTGGAGTATTTTTCTTTCAACCAAGTGGTACCAACTGAGTGCTTTATTCCCGGGCAACGCCGGGTATCCTGCTAGTTGTTATTATGTTGCATGTAATTCAAATACAAATACATGTACTGAAGCTGAATAGCTGTCAAGTAACACGAATACCTGGCCCAAGGTGAAAGGCTGCATGCGTCAGATATCAAGGGGGAGAACAGATGTATTCTGACACTAACTTCTGACTAACATTCTGAATTCCAATGATGACGGAATTACAATCCACGAGGCAGAGTGGAAGCTGGGAAACGTTGACAGACGACACGTATGGAACAATCTGGAGGGAGATCAAAGACGATGGGAGTAATCCAGAGGAAAACAGAACGCAAGAGCAATCTGGACCGAGATAGAAGATGAGACCTCAGCAGGAGAAATGGCAGGGAGCAATTGTAGTGACGTAGATATCAAATTAATTAACCTAGTATAAAAACCTAGTATAGTAATTTTCAATGCCGCAGCGGTATCAAGATGCAACTATTGAATGTGCGAGGGTAGTGTAGTGACGTAGATATCGAATTAATTAACCTAGTATAAAAACCCTGCGACACGAGTCATTAAACGTAAGCAGATCACGTCATAGGTTATTTTAGTAACAGCCAAGGCAACAAGCGAAGGACACCATGCAGGTCCTGCTCGCGTGGCGCACGCGTGTCGCGCGTGTGACACAACAAAGGAGAGAGAGAAAGTAATCACCTACACACGGCGACACTATGACATTTTAGTACCTATAGAAGGACATCACACCTTGATGTCGCATGCCGACTGATAAAGAACAAACAACGAATGCCTCCGACATATGTGAACTATGTCAAAAATGAGAACATGAATCGAACTGCCGCCATTCCCACACCAGACTCAAGGAGCGTCCACAGCTTCTCACTTTCAGTCACCCATAAAATGTTGAAGATGACGACACGTCTTGCACCACCATCATCAACAAGGCCTTGACCACGCTCAGGCCACGCATTCCTCCAGTTGTATAAATACCGAACAGTTTCGACAGAAAGACAGACACGGTTCCACGGTGCCTGACAGCTCCCGATGCTGTCAGCACCAGCTGGGTTCCGCTGCTCTCACCTGCTGGGTAGCTGGATACCGTCACCGTTGGACATCACTGACTGAGGACCTGCCTGCGACCTGCAGAACTCCACGCTCGTAAATATGTACTCTGCATTTGTAAACCAGTCGCTTGTCTGTATGTGCCTGGTGTATAAGATATGTATTCTATGTATTGTATCGTATTTACTGGTTGGCTTGCGCAGCCACCTATGTATTGTATGTAATTGTCAATATGATGTTGTTCATTAAAGAATAGAGTTACCGTAGTAATTCTGTGGTTATAGCATTAATTATACTGTTTGTGGCTTAAGTGCAACTGCACACGTATCTGTTGTACAACGAATCTGGACACACTATTATGATCACACGTGCCTGTTATAAGAGCTCACGGGCTTCCCTATACAATCCACAGGGAGGAGACAAAGTCGAGAGTGACTGATGAGCTGATGACCAGATTTAAAGTTAAGCTTTATTTTGTCTTACACGAAGATCATGCCGTACAGTTAGCCAACAACCGCTTAGATAATTAAAATATTGGATACGTTTTACAAAACTAATTTTATTATGCTGCTTTTGTTACAATTTTGTCACTGGCACTCACAAACCACACAGACACGATAGCAATAAAATAGCTTTGTAACAGTTGGCATGGTTCGTACTAATATAAGAGAAGTTATTTTGATGAGGCTAATCGGGCCGAATTACACCAGTAAAAATACAACATAATAGGCAAGTATTTACACATGAAATATGGAGGAGATTTTCGCACTGTCACGACGGTTGTTTTGACTTTTTAAAAACGACGAGTTTGTAAAAAACAAGAGCCTGCATCAAGCTAGCACACATCTGCTCCCGCTGCGGCGCCATCATCTGCTGATAGCTTGCTCGCAGACGTTCCGGAACGATCAGATCGATGTCGTTCACGGTGTATCCCTCTAAGAGCTTCCCAACGACCTGCTGTCCACTCACTCGTTCCCCTCCGACCATCAACTGGAAGTATTGGCTAACGACATTGTTCTTCAGTGTGTAGACCTTCTGCTGAAGGTCACCCTCCACATCAACACTGAGTAGAGCAGTGACCATCGCCTCTATCGTTCGCATGTTCATCGCGAGCGTGACAAGCCGCGGCTGTGTCTGGTAGCGAAGCACCTTGTTCTCAAACGTATATATGTCCGCCTTTGGAAGCTTCCTTACAAAATTATTGATCTGCAAAAACATATAATTAGTGACATAGTCGCATACATAGTCACATAAACACAGTTAATTCGTGTGCAGAATTAACAATGACAGCATGAGTTAATAGCTGCTCAGATAATTCACCAGATAGTTTGTTCTTGATATGCTGATACAGAATACACTGTTTTTGATTTGTGACAACGTATACCATTCTGGTAATTATGGCAAATATATGAAAAGCTCAGGAATGATTTGGGATTATTTTCAATTTAAAAAAACTATTATTTAGATTCTGTGCAGTACAAAAGCACTCATTATACTTACACATTGCAGAAAGAGAGCATGGTTGTATTTAGGTGGCTTGGCACCTAAAAGTGGTTCTCTATACCACTCTAACACGTTGAACTGCCTGTCCATGTGTACAAATGTCACCCAATCCTGTTGCAGATCCATTGACACCAAACTTTCCACATTCTAGCAAACATGACATAAGAACTAGTTTTTCAATTAATTGCCACGGACAAGCTTCAGAAATTTATACACACGTAAGTTAGTTATTGTTATTAAGCATACAAGTTGTTTGCCTATATGAAATGACCATACCTGGCACTCGCGATTTGTGATTGCAGGTGTACAGGTGGCAACAATTGCTTTTTTCCCACTTTCCTCCTTGGAGCCGTGTAGCACATTATCGCATATATTTTTCACTGCATTAAAGCTCATGCGATCAATGTTTAGCAGTTCGGAAACAGTTTGAAAGTTGCGCTTCGTGCGATACTGAAGTATTTTCTTTGCAGAAGCTTGTGATATGGCTATAGAAATGTAAATAATTGGATATAATTGGATATAATGGAAATAATTGGAATATATTGGAATATATTGGAAATAATTGGATAATTGGATAAAATTTGCACAAACGGTATAATATTTTTTTTATTCAGCATACTAAATTATCTGGCACACTATGCAAACATGATTGCTTTTAATTGTTTATATATATATGTGATATTTCAACTGCATGTCAAATATAATATTGACATAGTGTAATATTATATTTACACAAAATACATTGCCCTTTAATCGCATATACATTGAATCGTCATACCTCTGTAAACTTTCAGCTCTTCAACAGTGCTTGTATTTAACACATTTACAATGATGTCTCCCTCTTCCTTACTGTACATCTGCTCTGCTTTGACTCTAATCTCATCGAACTCAGTCTTAGTGCATGCCTGTAAAATGAACACTTGGTTTAGTATCAGTGTAGTTATTTTCTTAGAAATAAAGTCTGTTTATCTCAGTGGAAAAACCAAGATATGTGCCACTCACAACAGTTGATCAGATACAGCATTGGGCTAAATGGAAAAGGTCATTATGATTTACATGATATTTATAGCTATTTGTTCCTATTAGGCATTAGGTCAACGAGTCATGCAGCCAAACCACTACCACCAGGCTGTGAGACTAATATTATTAATACATAGGTAATCAATAATTACGTCTTTCCATATATGACGGTTTCTTGGAGTAGTATAGTAGCATAGACCGTATAGCATAGACTGTATACAATAATATGATGGGACACTTGCTATATGCTCGCAGCCGCTACGTTACACACGCGACACATTCGCGGATCACATTCGCAAGTCACTATTTGCAGTTTAAGTAACCCTACTCTTTGCAGGGTTACATCATAATTAGATATAGAATACATTACTTAGTGTAGTCTGTATTCTATATATCCATGGTTACCTACACACTACACACTACAGCAGAAAGGGTCGTTGTCGTATCACTATCAGGTACTACATATATGTACCCGAGGTACATATAAATATAATATGTATACTTCATTCTATATCTATGATACAGGTGCGGATTTAGGCCGGTTTGCACTGGTTTCCAGAAACCAGTCACAGGCTGGGTATCTTCAGAATTGATCCTCAAAATTCACCAGAATGCACCAAATATATAGCCTAATTTTTTATAAAATTAGACCCCCCTACAGGGTGAAAAACTGATAATTGGAGGCACTGGTCCAGCAGGACCAGTACCTCTGAGGAAGTACTGGTCCTGGTCCAGTAGGCAAACTGGTCCAGGGATTTCTGTCATAGCAAAGCAATGACTCGATGTGGGAGTTTATTATACACGGGGGGGGGAGGGGGATGGTGCTATTTGGTGATGTGCATTCTAAGGTATTCTTTAATAAATTATATTTTTTAGGCATCGTTTCGATAGCACTGATGGCGTAGTAAATCGGAACAAGTCCAAAGATACATCCTCAAAAATCAATCAAATCAATCAAAGGATTAAAAAATCAACGGATCAAAAACATCAAAGAAATGCACGGTACAATCGTGAAGACCGCCCATTAATTCGCTATAAATTATCATATTTTTATTACTACGCGATCGCTGATTGGTTCGGGAATGGCGCAGTAATTATTGAATTAGGCAGTAGGTTTAACAGCAATGACTAGAAAATCGAAAGCACAACCAACATGGAGAGTTTGTGCTACTTCGCATGAACTTTAGCTTCGAATTTGACTGATTTTTAGTCTATATTTGATTAAATTTTACCGATTGATTTTTCATCAGAATAATGTAGAAGTTTAGTAGAGAATAACAAAATAATCAGGCCAGCCAATTAAACAATTTTTTGTTTGCCCTCACCCGACCCAGGCTGAAAAGTGGTGGTTGTTTTTTTTTGAGGGGGGTCTTTTTAGCAAATTCAGCAATGGTGTCCTACGTGGCTCAGGTGTGCTTGTGTGAGATACTTTTATGTTTGCCTAACATTTATAGTAATGTACCATTGTACAGTGATACAATATACATATAAAAATGACTTTTAAGCAACTTGTGTTTATGCAGAGCATAAATCTGTGCATGATTTTATTTCCAGGTCACGCAGCGCACCGCACCGCACACATACACGTAGTGGAAATAAAAGCGGCATTACAAATAAAAGGAACTTGAATTAAGAAATAATAAATATGCTTCATTAGCAGCATATTAGTCCCTTTGGAAAGGAAAATAAAGTTAATCTGTCAGAGTTAGATCCATATTAAGGTATTTAGTAATCTTAAATTATAATATAGCGATTTCGCAGGATTCCAGGAAAAGTTTTGCTATCGCTAAGTTTTGGAAATCACAGCGCTTCCAGAAAGTTTTGGCTGTCGCGCTCTCATACCAGCGGATTCCCTGTCCACCCCCTACATAATGTAATATGAACATAACCCTGCACGCAGCTGAAAGTGAAACAATCAATATGCACTCGCCCCTCCCACCCTAGCTTCAATCGGCAGTGCCGCCAGCTAACAGGCAACGTACCAGGCTGTGCATAGCTCTAGTACTATAGCCGCGCGTAGCGCAGTTGCCGCAGCGTCTGCACATTTACAGAAACTTAAAAAAAAATATCGGAAAGGTCAAATGGACAAATAGTTTGTGTGGGGCCCTTTTTGGCGGTCGGTCGGGGTGAGGGCAAACAAACAACATTTTTATTATGGGCCTCAGTTTGGTAAATTTTTTATTTCGCTGTGCGGCGATTATTGTAGTCGCCCCGCGGACCAGTCACGAGAAGCAGTCGCCCGGTCGATTTTTCTAATGCGCACTGCGACTGGGCGACCGCTAGTTTCTCACGCTGCCCCTAGCTGTGAATAGAACTATGGAAACTGGTCAACCGCAAACCCTCTGGATCCGCCCACTGGTGATTAGTTGATACGACAACGACCCCTTCAGCCACATGCACTACACAGTGACAGTTAGATACAATAATTGTAGCCCCGCCCACGACCCAAACACAGGATAGGGTGTGTCCCCCTATCCTGTGTTTGGGTTACATTATAGTGCGTTCGATTTGCTTCCCCAAGTTAACCTGGGTCTACTCGGGCCAGCCCCAAATACGTTTCGATTTGCAGTCACGTGTAATATTTTTGCGGTTACCCCGGGTTTGAGGACGAAGTGAGCGGCTCGCGCGAGCCCGCTCACTTGGGGGGGGGGGGCTAGGGAGTATCACCAATCAATTGCAACGACACCATGAATGGGCGACGATATCAGGTGCGGGATGCAGGTGCTGCATGAATGTAGGCAGTGTGAATGACTGCGTGTGTTTGGCTTCAAGGTAACGGTGAGGGTGCTAGGATGATGTTTATTACTGGACATGCTGCTCTATCGCTTGGAGCCCGCTCATTCTTAGAGTTTCATTAATAATAAGATTGCAATTGTTATTATTAATATTATAGATTATCAATTAACCGATTTAACCCAAAACACCGTTCGATTATCTTTCCCTAACCAAGATGCGTTCGAATTTCGTAGGCCTAGGTCAACGGCCAGGCGGGACTCTGGGGAAGCAAATCGAACGCACTATTAATTATTGGACATTGTATGCTGAGTGTCAGCGCCGACAGTCGAGTGTTAACAGAGGCGTGTTCAGGCAGACGAAGCGCTCGCTTCGTGGTTCGGCTCCGCGCGCTCGCGACTTCCTGAACGACACTGCGCGAGAGACGCGAGCGAGCGTTTTGCGCCGCAGGTTTTGAAAAGCTGTTCGCTCAGTGCGCGAGAGTTCTACAAGCTGCGGGGCGAAAAAATCTGGATATGCGAATCTAACTTTCTTCTGACGTCAATTTGCAATCTATTTCAACTATTATTTCACTTTTTCATTCATTCATTTAGCTTTTTTCCCCTTAAAATTTCAAATTTGTATCAAATTTCGTACTGCTAATATCGTTTAAGCAGTAACTTGTTCTCTCGCGATTAATGCTGCTGAGTAACCCTCCATGGGCGCCATCTTGATCAAAGCGGGCGCATCGTGGTGTCATGCACAGCGAGCGCTCGTGTGTCGTCGACAGGCGTGCTTCAGGAGAGCGAGCGCTCGATGCGACGGCGCGATTGAAGCGAACGCAGTCAGCGCTCCTGAACGATACACGAGCGCTCGGCTGTGTGCTCGCTGTCCGCCTCGTCCTTGAGTCAAAGATGGCGCGCCCCGGCATGGAGGGTTACGCAGCAGAATTTTAATCGCGAGATAACAAGTACTGTTAAACGAATTAGCAAACGAAATTGATAGCAAATTGAATTTTAGAAGTAAATGAATGAATGAAAAGTGAAATAAAGTTGAAATAGTGTGCAATTGACGTCAGAAATGTTAGATTCGGGCATTCGCCAGATTTTTTCGTCGGCCATCTTGAAACAACCCGCTCGCCTGACGCGAACAGGCTTTTTGAAACTTGCGCCGCAAACGTTTCGCGTCGGCGCTCGGCTCGCGCAGTGTCGTGTCAGAAAGGAACGCTAGCGAGCGCTTAGCGAGCGTTCGCTCTCCTGAAACGCTCATGTAGGAGGGCGCGTGCGTTCGTTCATCGGAGGCGTTCGCGAATGGCGATCCGACCTCGCTCTCCTGAACACGCCTCAGTATCTGAGTATACAGCATCGTCTGCATTTTGCCTAGAGTCTAGCAGCAGTAGCACTTCCGTCCGACGAATATTAGGGCCTAAAAAGCAATATCTAAACGTCGACTATTTGCGATCCTCTACGTGCTATGCGAAATTTGCACAAGCGAATAGTTTCAAATTTGGCATAATACGTTTTGAGAACTTGATTCTCCCTCCATGCCCTCACGGGCGCAGACATATTGGAACTTATTTTACAGGTGAATGCTCATTATGTTCTTCTTGTATGTGAGCGTCATGGATGGCACGCGGCGCGGCTTCCACAGCACATGGTGGCACGAATTTAATTTGTTAAAAATTCCATTATTGGCTATATTAAATGCCGAGGATATTATGATTGTGTAGAAGCCGTTTAATGCCGCTGAACACGTTTGGACAGGAAATCCTTTATCCAAAAAGCACCAGACAAGGGTAGTTTCCCGTTAGATCACGAAAAGGTATTTAATACAGTGAGAGTGATTGATTGAGACTGAGAGTGAGAATGATACTGATACTGATACTGATACTGATAGTGATATACATATACTGATATAGGCCTACAGACTACAGACTACAGTACACTATTAGAATTACTAAATAGCAGGAGTAAGATAAATATAGCCAGGTAAGATAATAGGTATAAAGAGTAAGATAATATATCCTATATTATCTTACTCCTGGTAATACTAATACTACTACTACTACACACACACAGAGTACAGTACAGTTAATAATGACTGTATGATATCAGTATCACTATCAGCTGTGTTACAGTCTTACTCTTAGAACTAGTAATAGTATTACTCTTACTCTTAGCTCTAGTAACTATAGCCCGCGTGCAGTTGCCGCAGGCCTGCGGCAACTTTACGCGGGTTGAGCGGAGCGACACTGGCCGAGGGAGTGAAGCGACCAAAGGGGGGGGGAGCACACTGCACAGGCACTTGGAACGTCTCAATAAAAATAAAAAATGTAAACACGAAATGTATTTACTACCAAAGTCTTAATGTTTCTCTACTATATTTCGCCTATTATCGCTGTAAATGCCGTTCTAATGCTCGTCTAAAGTAAAGTAAAGTAAAGTAAAGTAAAATTTATTTTCATCGGTATATCATGAACATTGTAACATAAGCTAAAAGCTTTTGCACCGATATCAAACAAGAATAAAAGATATTGATTATACATAGTAAAAACTGCGTAACTGCAGTGTTACTATTCACATAGGCCTTATTGGCCGTATTGCCTTTAAACAAATAACAACAATATATCAATATATTACATGTCAATTAGCGACACATTGAGCATCTGCACCTGTACCCCCACAGCGTTTCGAGTAGCCTTTTAAAACAGCGGTTGAAGTTCCTCACTCCGACGTATACATTTCGGTAATTCGTTCCATATTCTAGCTCCTTCATACTTTAAGCTTTTCTTACCGCAAGTTGCCCTTTCGAAACGTGGGATGTGTACACGGTAATTAAAACTATATCTGGATTCATTCTTTACAACAAGATCGTGGAGGTATACAGGCCGATCTTTAGTGAGAATTTTAAAAACTTCAATGGCTATGAGCTTTTGTCTTTGTAGTTTGAGACTGACTGATTTGTTTCTTGCTAGTAGCTGTCATAGTCACTGCTGAAGTCATATAACACAAATTTTAATGCTTTATTAATTGAGCTTTTCTAGGCTTTTTCTCGTTCGCTTTATCACGAGAGTGCCATATAATAGGGCAAAGTTAAAATTTGAGCTGATAAAAGACGAATATATTATTTCTGCAACTAACAGGCAGATGCCGTCCGATACGTTTCAGTTGCATTTATTTGCCTGGCCACCTTTTGACAAAGCTTTGAAATGTGCCCACCAAAATTGAGTTTAAAATCAATGGTCACTCCCAGCAATTTTACTTCATCGGTGCATTTAATATCCGTCCCCCCAACAGTGAAGTGGGAGCATCGATCATAGGTTTTCTTCCCAATCGCAATGCCCTGAAACTTGGCTGGGTTTGCCTGCATTTGATTTTTGGAAAACCAGTCGATCAGCACCTCCGCCTCAGTCTCGAGGGTATGTTTCATATCTATAAAGTCTTCACTAGAGTAGGAAATGGTATTGTCATCTGCATAGTTACATAAACTGGCTTCATTCATAAAATAAAATATATCATTTATAAATATGTTAAATATCAGTGGACCTAGTATGGATCCCTGCGGTATTCCTTTTTGCAGGTATAGAAAGTCACTGCAACGATTACCCATGCGTACACACTGTTGCGATCCTGTCAAATAGCTTTGTATAAGATTTACAGCACTGTTGTCCACATTGTATGCTTTTAGCTTCTCAAAAATCAGTGCGTGGGGCAAGCAGTCATAAGCCTTCGACAGATCCATTTCGTCTGCAACACACAAGTACACCGCACGCCCACCCTGTGCACAAACAACATGAATAAGAGAGCTCTAATAGGCGAATAAGAGAGCTCTAATAGGCGAATAAGAGTAGAGATGTATTATTAAGACTTTGGTAGTAAATACATTTCGTGTTTACATTTTTAGCTCACCTTGACATTGTCAAGCTGAGCTATTTTCATGGGTCGTCGTCCGTGCCGTCCGTCAAACATTTCGCTTCGGTCAACGATAACTTCAGGAACCGTTTGGGCCACATGTTTGATAATTGGGTAATAGTTTGTTTACTGCCTAGTGCTCCCATATTAAACGTCCTATTTTGAAGCACGCCAGTCGACGTACTTCGTTTCTTTTGGCAGCCACGGCATTTTTGGCAAAAATGGTAATTGCCATTAGTCAGTTCAGGTTAAACGGATTTTGCTCATTTTTGGTATGTGATGAATATGGGCCAGGGGTTTTGATATTTAAAAAAAATTTATGCAATTAGGTAGGGTTTGGCATTATAGCATATTATATAAACACAAACGGTCTGTGGTGTCACAGCTCGTCTGTTCGTTTTACAAGATTTCATTGACAATATCTTTAATGCAAAAATTGGTATTTCTCTCCACTCTGGCCGATAAAACGTCTATATTAGAGTAAAGATTTACAAAACAATGTCGAAAGCGCATGCATAACTATTTATTTCAAGCGCCATCGCTACAAAGCGGGTATAGGCGCCATCTACGGTCACAATTGTGATCATTTTGGTTTATAAATTATTATTGCGATATACAGATGGCAATTGTTTCTATAATGTACGTCGATGGTTGCTCAATTAAAACTGACTTCTAATATATATTAGAAAGTTTAATATTAGAATATTAAAACCCCTAGCCCTTATTCATTCACATACCAAAAATGAGCAAAATCCGTTGAACCTGAACTGACTAATGGCAATTCCCATTTTTGCCAAAAAATTGCCGTGGCTCGAAAGTACGTCGACTGGCATGCTTTAAAATAGGACGTTTAATATGGGAGCATAGCAGTAACAACTATACCCAATTTCAAACATGTTGGCCAAACGGTTCCTGAGTTATCGTTGATCGTAGCGAAATGTTGACGGACGGACGGACGTACGACGGACGACGACCCATGGCAATAGCTCAGCTTGACGATGTCAAGGTGAGCTAATAATACAAGGATCCTGTTACTAACATAAAATTTTCTGTCCCGGTATATTCATTTCTATGCAAAACACTTTGTACACACCTTCTAATCGATTGTTAGCTCATCTGACATAGTCAGATGCAGCTTGTAGAATCGCATGAGCGTGCGTCCGGCCGTGCGTGCGTCCGTCCGTCCGTCAATAGTTGGGCACAAATCTTAACCGCTTGACGTACGGTCACGATATTCGGGACGTTGGGGGGGATCGTCAAAACGAGTTGGGATGTCGAAGCTTGGGGTCAAAGGTCAAAGGTCAAGAGGTGTAAATGACATTCCCTCCTTAACTTGAGGTATAGGGAGGAAATGCAGAATTGCGGCACAAATCTAAACGGCTCGACCTAGGCTCGTGATAGTCTGTGTACAGCATCATGGTAGGAAAAGCCATCACTGTGCCGAAATTGGAGGTCACAGGTTAAAGGTCAATGGGGCAAAGGGCAGATTTTAGACATTTTCTGAGGACATGGTCTGATGGAGCGATTGAAAAACTTTTTTTGTTTCAGCGGTGACCTAGCATTTTTATGGCTTTATTGAAAGGACCATGAAATGTAATTTCTGCTGACATGCGAATAGTAAGCGTCGGATAACCTTTTGACCCTCAAGAGGAGGGTTAAACATTGATTTGTGTCACAATGCACCATAAAACAGGAGTTTCAGGCACTCGATTTGTATAAACCAATGGGATTTGGGAGGCATGCAGAATGCAGAAGGTTGCTGAAATGATGTGTACGCAACTGCGTATCTGCATATCTGCATATCTGCACCTAACAAAGGTGTCACTATGCACGACTTAAATGTTACGTTTATATAACCGTAGCAACAGACCACAGATGAGCCCAGAGGGCCCCAGACGCAATGGCATTCAAATCAAATGCACCTCTGTAACACACTACAGTCTTGCTGACATGCTGTACCCATGCACGCTCTCTCAGATACACTATCGTGTAAGAGTTTGTGCTAAGTGACGAGCGTGCACTAAGAGTGTGCTGTAATTTGTAAAGGAGTATTTGAATTGTATTTACATGGAAAGATTAGGCCACAGAAAGTATATATATTTTAAGACTCATGGTAATAAATTTAAAGTTTAAATAAGTTTTAATAAAGAGTGTTTATTAACCATTCTTTTATTATTTAAATGGCCCAAATACTTATTATCTACATCTGCTTGTTCGATCACTTACATCAGTACATGTCCCCATCTATGTTACTTTTCATGTTCCCATTACTTGAGACGGGTTCTTTTTCTGAGCCGCGAGGGGTTAACACAGTCCCCTGTGTTAAAGCCATTATTACGAGAGTATTGCTCAGAAACCCTCAACCCCCAAAAAATGTAGCGAAATATAGTCTCACCTCACAGCGATATATCACTGATTACACCAGCATTAAAAACACTAAGATTTTATGCCGTTATCGCATAGAAAATTGGATATGAACACATCGTAGCAGCAATGCATTTTATCGTGTAGCGAATTAATGAATTGGTAAACTTGTAAATTGTCAGTGATAAATTGAAAACAACTGCATTTGAAAGAGACTGTATGTCTATGGCAGATAGGCGGCGGCGCTACTAGCTAGTCCAAGTCTCCAAGACTCCCGGCTCTAGTTTCAAGATTACAGCAAACGATTGTTTACCAAAATTTCATGTTTTGGTGAATTTACGAAGGTTCTAAGACATTTTATTGTTACTCTAGACAATTGCTGTTACTGACATGCAATAACGGTGGGTATCATAAAAGTGGTGAAAACACTGGAAAACTCTCGTAATAATTACTTTAAGAGCCAGGTTTTGATTTTACAGTACTATACAATTGTATTTTACAGGGGAATGCAAGAAATTCATGCTGAAGTACATGATTTGCTTAAGACAAAAAGGGAATGAGAACTCTGAGTGCAGAAATGAAGCAAAGGACTATTTTCAGTGTCGGATGGACAGGTAATAATTCAGAGGTGCTCCAGTGTGTATTGACTTTATAGTATTTCTTTTGTGTTTGCATTCATTAGTATCATCAGGAGTGAATAATAGAGACTCCATTATTCACTCCTGGTATCATCATATCATTTGCACATGTATGTATCTTGTATTCTGATAGCCGATTACTCTGCCTACCACACAAACAACATTGTCTGGCATAAAGACTTAAATTGCAATTATAATAATATCATTCTGAATATAGATTCCTATTCCTGTTACCACGAAACCCTAGTTGCATTGTGCGAATAAATTTGTGAGCAAAATACTATCAGTTTAAATTTAAATTTGTGTCAAAATTTACATTATTTCAGAGCATTCAAAACATAATTCCGACTCACTTCTGCTTCCAGAAATTTAATGACGAAAGAGGAATGGTCAAAACTAGGATTTCACGACGACAAACATTCAGAATCTTAAAGGTTCCTTCTATAGTTCAAGAAAATGTCTGAGCCGTCAATTGATGGAAAAGAGAAGAGTTGTGAATTGAGCAATGAAGAGGGCGTGAACACGCGGACAGGGGCAGCTGGCAGAGGATTGTCACAGATTCGTACGTCTAACGAGCTCACAGATGAGGAGCTGGCCACCGTTCCCAGGAAGGACCTCATGTTGCCGCAGAACAAAGCCAAATTAGACAGGCCACGCGAGACCTTCCGAACACAGAGGTCATCCCTGCTCACGAAGGTCAAAGACTTCCTCCCACAAATGGCACAAGCACAAAGACATCTAGAGAAGGTAGACAATCCCCATCAGCTGGACATAGAAAATCTAAATGGCTATGATGGTCCTGTCATAGAGATGGATATCGGTTTATTTAACTACAGCGGTGAGAGTGACAGTGAAAGCAGTGATAGTGATAGTGATGCTGATAGTGATCATGACAGTGATGATGGTGCAGTCGGCAATAATGGAATCATCCGAGAGGGAGGAATAAGTTTAATTAAAGAGGTTCAGCCGACTGAGACGTCACAGAATCAACAATAATCCAAATGCGTATTTGGCTGGTTAGCATTATGTACAGTGGACATTAATGTAATCAGTTCTTTTTTAAATGAGAGAATAATTCTGCCTGATTAAGGCATGTAATTGGGAGTTGATATGTGTTTATTACTGGTCATTTATGCTCAATACCTATTGTTGAAGTACCTACCACTTACAACTACAGTACCACTTTGGAATAGCATTTGGGAAAATCTGAGAAAAAAACTCAATGAAGTTACCATGAAGTCTAATACTCAGTCAGTCGTTACAGTTGAAAGGTGATGGCAGCAATTGCATAGATGTACCAACACTGTTTTCTGGTGTTCTTCACAGAGTTGTACAAATAACTTCAACTGTGCCAGATATGGTATGTCAGACAAAATTTTGTTCCTAGTGCTGGTAGTATCATGCTGTTGAAATAAATGTTATAGGTACATTCTATTCTTCCTAATACAATATTTTTGTTTTGGCCAGATACAGCTACATCTGACTGGAAGCTTGTGCGAATGGGAGCTAGTCGACTAGTCTAGGTTCAGTCACGTTTAACTTCCCAGTTAACTTCCCCGGTTAACTTCCCATATTTTCTAGTGTATCTGTAGCTGTTTCCAACAAAAACCCAATGAAAATAATTGTTGGTAATTCCATGCAAACCTGCCGGATTTTATTAACAAAAAATTCTGCTCTTCGCGTGGTACTGTGCACTAGATCTAATACCACTTCTGGCACGATTAATATATTTACAAATGTAGTGTATTTCGTACTGATACTGTGATTTCTACTTTCTGTGATAGCAAAGACCAACAGATTACACATCTTAAACAACATTAGATAGTTTCCTGTAATGACTATATACACCAATAACCCCATTTCTGGGCAAATAAACTACCAAACAAAATAAATTGTATATATATATTATATAATTTATAAAGCATTTGATGCACTTGAGAAAATTCATAAATTGGTCAACAACTGTGCT